GAAGGCTTACTAAAAACCTACCCCTCCTGCCAACTGAGTAGAAGCACTTGCCAAGTCATTTCCTTTCTTATTGTTATCAGTGGCAGCTTCTGACCAAGAGTCTTGCAATTTATTTACTTTTCCCAAAGGAGTTTGCCTAAGGCTGGCCCAAGACATTTTGGTTCCTGAGAGCCAGTGTGGTGTAGTGGTTAAGAGCGGTAGTCTTGTAATCTGGGGAACCGGGTTCGCGTCTCCGCTCCTCCACATGCAGCTGCTGGGTGACCTTGGGCTAGTCACACTTCTTTGAAGTCTCTCAGCCCCACTCACCTCACAGAGTGTTTGTTGTGGGGGAGGAAGGGAAAGGAGAATGTTAGCCGCTTTGAGACTCCTTAAAAAGGGAGTGAAAGGCGGGATATCAAATCCAAACTCTTCTTCTTCTTCTGAGGCAAAGAACAAGATGGCGTCCCCTGCTCCTCACACACACACAGATTGGGGCTGAAATTGAAACAAACTTTGCACTAGCAATGGGACAGTGTCTTCCAGTTTAGAGGTTGCAGGAGAAGCTATAGGCCACACACAGCTCTGGTTGGCAACAGAACATCCACCTGATGTTCTCAGGTGGAACACAGGCAGGCACTGCTGCAGAACACACACTTGTTGCCTGCGATGATTGCCCGCCTCCGAGTGAAAACATTGGTGGGAGAATGTGAGATGCAAAGGTTATCTTGACTGATGCCTGTCTTCATGTTAGTGTTTCCAGAAATACAACTGTCTTAGTCTGTTTCAGGAAAGACAACAAACGTTTTGTGGCACCTTAAAGAGAAATACTTTATTATGGCACAAGCTTTGATGGACTCAAGCCTCCTTCCTTAGATACAATGGTCATTTTTGGTGTACTTTGCTTTTGGAGTGTGGAAACTGTCAATGGGCAAGGCCTTCTCAAGGAATAGGAATGGAGGAATTGTGGTCGTCCAAATGTTGTTGGACTCTAACCCCCATCAGTCCCAGACAGCAGAGCCAATAATGGGAGCCAGGGATGATGGGAGTTGTAGTGCAGCAACATCCAGAGGACCATAGGTTCCCTATCCCTCTTGTAGTGTGGGATTTTGCACCTCTAGGCCAGCTCTGAGAGGATTTGGCTGTGATATCAGTCATGGTCAGGATGTGAGTTGCTAACTCAGTGGCTGAGAGTTTCATCAACGGGAGAAATGGTATGCAAAGCTTAATTTATTTTAAAGTTGTTTTGTACTTTCCCTGGAGAATGTTTCTTTATCACTAGCCTGCCCCTTTAGCACAGTCTCCTGGGCCAAATCTTATGCAAATTGTGGCAAAGCAATCTACCTTTTAAGCCAGATCAGGACAGTCAAGATGTAATCGTACACAGTTTTGCTGAAGTGGCGTTTCCAGCTTTGCTCGCTTTCCTGCCTTAGCTGGCGCTTGAGTGGGGCTGTGAGATTGTGAACATCCAGTTACTGCTTTGTCAACTGTACTGCAGGATCATCTCAAATTTGGTAGGTTTGAGGATCACAGGAATCTCAGCTATCAAAGCAGGGTGTGTGCGCTAGTACTTCTTGCTATTCTCAGCTTATCTGAAGGTTAAATTCTTCTATTAAATTCTTGGATATCAGGAATTTCTAAGTGTTGCTTGCTTGCTTCTTCTGGCTGCAAGAGTGTGTTTGTTTTCGTCATACGCCTATTCAGATGCAGAATGTTTTATCTTGGGTATACTAAAAAGATGCTACATCAGTTCCACAATGAAGGCATTCCCTTATCTCAAGTTGGCAGTGAACACTTCCTAAGAGCTAACTCTGTACATCCCTGTTCCTGGACTTTTCTACATTAATTTGGCAATTTTGGCAGTCTTCCTGCGTTGTGAGGTGTGGTATCATTGGTAATGGTTGTCATTCCTCTTGTCCTCCACTTCAGAAAGTAGAAAAGTTGGAGAGGGGAATGAAAGGCATTTTTGATGGCCCAGAAGATACAGGATACAAAACGGAGTCTAACTAAAAGGAAGGTGGGCTGAAATGTGGTAGGAAAAAATTAGTCTCCGTTGCATTTCTGATCTCTAATAGGAAAGCAGCAAATTTCTGTTTATTTAATTTTTGTGATTTTTGCAACTGAGGATATGTACTCATCCAAAGCAACACATTTTTAAACAGATATGGTGGGTATTTTTTGTCCATGATTAGCCTCTGTTGAAGTTGTGACAAAGGACTCTCCTAAATTTTTGTAATACTGCTTGAGCCTTACTTACACTTTGGTCCAGAATCCAGCACTATCTCTTTTCCTAGTGACTGACTGCTCAGCTCTGTCACATTTAATGCAGATTCAGCAAAGTGTGATCTCCCAACGTATTTACTGCTTGCCAGGTGGTTGGCAGCTTTACTAATCCTCCATTGGAAGACTTATTACGATGTATCTAAATCAGGCGTAGGCAAACTCAGCCTCCAGATGTTTTGGAACTACAACTCCCATCATCCCTGACCACTGGTCCTGTTAGCTAAGGATGATTGGAGTTGTAGTCCCCAAACATCTGGAGGGCAGAATTTGCCCATGCCTGATCTAAATCAAAGGCACCGTTGGCTTGTCTTTTTCGTGGGTTCTTGAACAACTCATTCCTATCTGTTGGAAGCACTGGAGAATGAGGGCTGCCTGTAGGCATTCAGTAAGGCATCACTGGTGTGATCCATAGCTCCTAATGACAGAAGTGCTTTTAATATAGTTCATAACATGCTGTTACAGCTTTAGATAACTGAACCCACACCACTCTCATAGGAACAAGACTGGGATAAAATTACAGTGGTACCTCGCAAGACGAATGCCTCGCAAGACGGAAAACTCGCAAGACGAAAGGGTTTTTTTGTTTTTTGAGCTGCTTCGCAAGACGATTTTCCCTATGGGCTTGCTTCGCAAGACGGAAACGTCTTGCAAGTTTGTTTCCTTTTTCTTAATACAGTTGCGACTTGACTTCGAGGAGCAACTCATAGCACGCGGTGTGGTAGCCTTTTTTTGAGGTTTTTGAAGACTTTGGTGATTTTTGAAGCTTTTCCAAAACTTTTCCGACACCATGCTTCGCAAGACGAAAAAAATCGCAAGGCGACAAAACTCGTGGAACGAATTAATTTTGTCTTGCGAGGCACCACTGTATGTTGACTTTTGAAATGTCTAGCAGAAAAAAGCGCTGGCCGTCCTGGGACTTATATTCCCAACCATTGAACAAGCTGGTCTGGTTGGGCCTCTCATTAACTGAGCTCATTGCTTTGCTTTTGGAGACTTACCAGGACTTGGCCCTGTCTGCACATCTCCCTCACAGGTGCAGAAGTGCTCTGTTTTGTGCTAAGCTGTAATGCTTGTCATTTTACAGCCTTTCCAGGAGCACTGCCTATATTCTACTCAAGCCTAAAACTGGCTGTGCTGCAGGTAGCTGTACTTAGTCATGGTGCCCAGTTCCAAGGCTGTGGGGAATTCCTACTGCTATCTCTTTCTACATGGAACAGAGATGAAGCTTTGGGCAACACAGATGTGGTGTAGGCATGGGGCATTGGGTGATGACTGCTGAATTCTTGAGTTAACTATTTCTGCAGCAACAAAAAGCAAACCTCTGTGCTAACCAAGTAAGACAAATTTGCAGAACATACAGAATTACAGTGGGGTTATAACACTCAACAAATCCTGGACTTATTTGCAAACCTTTTTTTTTTTTTTTACAGTAGAGCAACAATTACATGAGCAGATTCAATATGGACTAGAAGGCGGAAGTGTATTCCTAGAGTGTGAACCACGATCTCCCCATGCCTCCATCAAGTGGCTCATGCAAGCTGATAATTCTGACAAGCGCAAGGTGGTAAGTCCCTCATCCTGAATAACCTTTAGCTATGAGTGTGTGGACTGTGGAGATGTTACTTTTGGGGGGGGGGGAGTAGTCACACTGACATTTGTCTTAAAAAAAACCAACAGCAGTCTGATAGCATCTCTGACATAAGAGGAATGTTGGGAGCAGCTTTTACTTATCTCACAAAAACTGCAGCTACACTAACTGATGCAGGAATTTACAGACAGAGTGCAATTTTCTAAAGAGAAAATTTAAATCCCTTCAGTTATCTCACTCTCTTCTTCCCTTTGCAGCTGCCCCGTGATCGTGTGTTGCTGCGCACGCCTCAGGGTGTGCTTTTAGGCCCAGTGACACCGGCTGATGGCGGGCTCTACCAGTGCATAGGCACAGAGAACAGATTCCGCCACACACTGCGCCGTCTTCGTTTGCACGTACTTCCACATGCCTTGCTGGAGGGGGCCATCACCCAGGAGGTCCCTGCTCTTGGCATTTGCGAGAGCTACTGGCGACAGCTCAACAAAGGCCAGGATACACGGCGTAGTCGGAGCGGCCGCCAGTCCCACACTGGACCTAGTTTGTGGGACTCGGAACAGCAAAGCAGCTGGTACAGAGCCACCCAGCACTCTCTGAACTGGACCAGTAGTAGTCCCCAGCACTCCCAAAGCAGCAGCAGCATCAACAGCAGTAGCCGCCGCCGCCAGCACCACCACCGCTCCAAGCCATGGACAGGCCACCATTCCCCTCCTCGGAGTTGAGCTTCATGGAGGGGAAAGAGCGGGGAGAGGATTTGAACCCACGTTCTCTGGCTTGAGAGAATGACATTCCAAGGGACTCTTTGTAAGAGATGGGTGGATACAGAGACGGGGGAAACCTCTCTCCTCCTCAAACTGAGGGGACAGCACTGATGCTAATAGTGTGTGTTGTGTTGTGTGTCCAGGCTAATTCCAAGGTTTTGCAGGACCAAGGCTCACTGGCTTTTCCCACAGCTGTAGATACATGACCAGTGCAGATTCCAGGGGCTTTGGTTTTAGAGTCTATTTTTTACAATGCTCATTCATTCACTCCCACCCACCTACCACCACCACATGACAAACTGTTTTTCCTACTGTGATAGGAAAATGGTGGGGCTTCCTTCAACATTAACCTCATGGTTTATTATCCCTCTGTTACAGGAGCAGACTGCAGAGAATAAAAATGCCAGTTTATTTTCTAAACAAAATGCAGAGGGCCATGGTGAATTTCTGAAAGTAACAACATTCCTGCACAGTGATCCTAAAATTATATTTAAAATGTAGTTGTAATGCCCCATCCAGTTAGATCAAAGACCTACCGAGAATGGGAGGGGTCAACACCAGAGAAGGATAAAAACATGTTATTAAGCTGACTTTTACCTTGGCTACAACACAGGTATAAAACTGACCCTTACCCTTGAATGGAAGTAATCAACAGACAGATCTATCCTAGGTTTTGTCTGGTCTCTGGCCAAATAAGCAAATACAGTTAATTTGCATGAGTGGGAAGACCAATTGCTCTGTATATTTCAATATCCAACTTAGGAAAATACTTTTATTAAGTGAACCAAAATGTTATAAAGGTTTCAAATTCTTTAGAATGCTTCTTCAGGTAAACAAAAGCAGGGAGGGGAGAATTGGCTAGTGCTGAAACCATGGAGACTACATTTAGTCAGAATCGTAAGATGGAATGTGGGAGGATGTAGCAGACATTCAAATGAAACACAGCTAGGTAATTTGCAGGTTTCATCCATCATGTGTGCCTTTTCTCCCAGCAGCCAGATGCAACCTGAAACCTGCAACTATAGCATTTTATTTAATGTGCTTTATATACTGCTTAATCATCAAAACCTCATTGAATCATGGAACTGTTGCATTGGGAGTGTTCCCAAAGTCATCTAGTCCAACCCCCTCCAAGGAAGGAATCTCAACTAGATCATACGGTTCTTTGCCTTGGCAATGGTTCCCGCAAACACTGCTGGTCACCAGTAGAATGGGTGCATTTATGCCTTTTGCCATCCTTGGTGGATTGACTGGGCTCTCATTTCATAGTCTGGGGAAACAAGTCATCAGGCTCAAGTCTCTCATTTTAATGTCTGCCACCTCCTTCTACATGCCACCATAAGACTGACAAATTCTGATGTCTACAGTCCCCCCTGCTTTGCTTGCCATCTAGCCTGATGAGAGTGTTCTGGATAACAATTTTGTGAGAGTTTGGTTGGGTTAAGTTGTTGCTCTAATGTGAAGTTTGGAATTTTTCTTATAAGACAAGGCTACTTTTGCTTATTATTATTTTTTTGAGTCCTGTATAAAATGCTTGTTGAACTGAAATGCAGTAGCAGGCTTTGGACTGCAGGTTATTCAGATGATTGGAGTTCTCCAGCTTTTCTGTTTTGTCTACAGCAGGAAAGACACCCTTTTACATGTTCTGTGTGTGCAGACTCCTCCCCACGGTAGGGGAACTGCCTTATGCCTCAGATGTAGGAGGGTTCTGCCTACACCCCTGCAGCCCCATTCAAGTGCTGGACCAAGGAGGAAGGGTAAGGGGGGGAACCTAGCAATGGTGCTACAAAGGCTCCAGAAGGACATGTATCCAGCTCAAGAACCAAAGGTTTCCCTGATGGATCAAGCCCCATCTAGTTCAACATTGTGTTTTGCAGAAGCTGCTGGAAACAATAGCCATCTTACCATTCCCCCCCTCCAAAAAAATCTGGTGTTCCAGAACACTGTTTTGGCACATGTAATTTCCATTAAGCTTCTATTGTTGATGGGTAGCAATAGCTCTGTCCTCCACACATTTATGTAATCCTTTTTAAAAGCCATCGAAGCTTGGTGCTATTATTATAACAACTAAAGCACATTGTGTAGGCTAGTTACACATAGCATAAAATAGTATACACCTCTGTGGAGGCCCCTTTTGAAGCTTTGCCCTGACTCCTTGGAATTTCACCATTTTGAACAAGTTGGTGTTATTTGCAGAACTTGGCTACTTCCTATTCCCTGCCTATAGTTTGATTAAAAATATTACATAGCATCAATTCTAAGAGGGACACTTAAAACACTACTGGCTGCTCTTCTCCATTGTGAAAACTACTCAATCACATCTACCCTTTGCTTCTCCCTGCTTTATAGCCAGTTACTGGTCCATGGGAAAATTCTTCCTCTCATCTCTCACTGCAAAGCTTTCCTAGGAAGCTATGGGGAGGGACAGTCAAAAGCATTCTGGAATCCCAAGCATCTAATGCTGATTGGTCTTAGCTCAGTGTTCGAGACACTGAATTCCAAAGATGTTAAGGAGGCAAGACTTCCTCCATGTTGATTCATCACCAGGAAGGCCAGTCCTATGTAGACTTAAGTATCTTAGTCTTAAATAATGCTTTCTACCAGTTTACCTGGGGAAATGGCTTTCTAATTTCCTGGATGTTTAAAAACCCTGTTATTCCACTGCCTGCCTTCAACTCCTCTCCAAAAAAAGGAAAAAATTAATTTTCCTGTTTTACACAAAATATCAATGATTTAATATTGGAGGGAAAATGCCTTGGTTAAAGTGTCATGCAGCCCAGCCCAGCCGATGTTAATTCTTTATTTGACAATTGAGTTCTGAAATATCATCCTTTCTCACCTCTCTTTGACATAGCTTTTCAGGTGCACTCGCTGTTAAGTCTCAAAGATCATCTGACACAGAGAAATCTATTAACCTGACTCTTTCTGTCTTTGTTCAGTACCCTTCTGTCATCTACCAGTCCTTCTACTTCTCTGGGCTTTTTGGGGGGTGGCAGGGCTTCTGAAGTATTAAAAAAAGTTTTAAATATTCATTTTCAGAGCCATAACAATTTGCCCCTCAAATTCCTTCTTTGTGTCTTCTTGGCAACGTATGTAGGTTTGGCCTAAAGGGCTTTCTCTTTTCTTGGTGATGTGCAATTCACTACTGGAGGGAGAGCAGGGCTTGCTACAGCTAGAGTATGGGAAACTTTCTGTCAGGAACCATGTGCCAATGATGGACCAGGCTGCTGCCAAAAGTGGGCAACCTTTTTCTCTATTTTCCTGTCACCCACTTCTCCCTAGAGAGTGGACTGCTACGGAAAGGGACAGATTACATTTGCCACAGGACTGAACTGATCAATTGTGGAATTTTCCACCCCCTCCTTCTCCTCTTCTGGTAGGTTCCCCACCATCACCAGCAGTATGGGATTAGGCTGACAGCTACATGCGGCCCTTGGGCTGCAGGTTCCCCACTCTGGCTCTACAGTGACTATTAGGCACCTGGAAGAATCATATCACACTATTTTTTACTGAAAACTAGGGTGCCAGAACTCAGAATTTCAAAAGGAGAAAGCAGCTAATCAGGGCTTCTCAGTGCTCCACAGCTACCCTCCTACATAGCAGGAAGTTACAAGACAGGAGCAGTCACTAGACCTGTGCATGCCTACGTTTTACATGACAACTGCTAAAAGCACCCCTGACGGATGAGGTGGCGCTCACCCCCAAAATCCAAGTAAGTTCATTAACCTCCAAAGTTTAATAATAATAAAAAATCATAATACAATAAAATAACACACCCCTCCCTACCCTCAACAGCCCACCCTCCCCTGCTGGAAAAAAGGAAAAACACTAAAAAGAGAAAGACAAAAGGACTTTAGTGTCAGAGCCTGAGGCAGCATGGGGCCCACGATTTGGGGGTAGGAAGGTCAGGGTGGAGTAGAGGCTGGAGTGGAACGGGAAGATTCCTTGCCCTTTCCACCACCCTAAAGAACAAAGTGGTTACCCCAGTTCCTATAAAACCCAACAGGTACCAGGAGGAAGATAGGGGTGTTTGGGGAGAGCTGCCCCTCTGTGCAACAGGAGGCGCTGCCCCTGTTGTATCTAGGGAATGCTGGTACGAGGAGCAGGGCACTGCCCTTAAGAGGGCACCTGACTCCTTTTACTGCCAGAAGCAAGGAGCTGGGGATTTTCCCAGCACACACTGCTATCGCCACCCACAACAGGTCTCTGCAAGGCTCTAGTCCTTACAGCAACAGGGTGCACCCTGCTGCTTCCACCAAAGGGAACTGGTGGGTCCTGCATTTGGTGCCCATGGTGACCCCTGCAATGCCTCCCCCTGCCGAGGTATCAACAATACAAAAGGAGGAAAAGAAGAAAATGAAATATTACATCATCTGAAAATAGTCTGGTGCAGGGCCAGTGCTGAGTCCGGGTGGGGGAGATTGTAGCCTCCAGCTTCTGGGACTAGGTGCCTCCCCCCCATGCAGAGTGCTAGTCAAACCAACAGGGTGACATGGGGCTGCCAGAGTCCCTTGCAGTGCAGTATAGTCCAGGAAGGGGAAATCCAGGCATCATCTAGCCGTCACAACTGCTAGAAAAAAGGAAGACAGTTACTACACATTAACTATTCGCCTGACTTAAAAAAACCAAGCACCCAACCCCTGAGTGCCCCACTACTAGCTCAGAACATGCCCCATTCCACATTTACCCCAACTCCATTGTGGCTGCAATCTGTGCCTGCTGCAGGGGGAGCCCCACCCTGAGGCAGCGCTGGGTCTGCCCCCCGGATCTTCTTTGGCTCTAATTCCTCCTTGGGCAAGGGTGGGTAGTCGCCACGCTCTGTCTTCCGCTTCCGCCTTCGCTCAGAGTCTCGGCCTCTCCCACGGGTGCCACGCCGCTCTGCTTGCTCCAGCTGAAAAGGAACAAACAAGAAAGCAGGGGCTGACAAATCCTGTTTTTCTGATGCTTATGTGGGGTTATTACGTAGTTTATGCCTCTTACAGATACACAGTGTAATATCCTAGCCTACTGCAAGCTTAGGGACGCGGGTGGCGCTGTGGGTTAAACCACAGAGCCTAGGACTTGCCAATCAGAAGTTTGGCGGTTTGAATCTCCGCGACGGGGTGAGCTCCCGTTGCTCGGTCCCTGCTCCTGTCAACCTAGCTGTTTCAAAGCACATCAAAGTGCAAGTAGATAAATAGGTACTGCTCTGGTGGGAAGGTAAATGGTGTTTCCGTGCACTGCTCTGGTTCACCAGAAGCAGCTTAGTCATGCTGTCCACATGACCCGGAAGCTGTACGCCGGCTCCCTTGGCCGATAAAGCGAGATGAGCGCTGCAACCCCAGAGTCGGTCACGTCTGGACCTAATGGTCAGGGGTTCCTTTACCTTTTACTGCAAGCTTTGGCTTAATTTCATTTTTTTCCCATGGCAGAACTACACCACAGATACAGATCTGTCATGATGGCACTCATCTGTGCCTGTGAAGTTGCTGCAGCCAACTCACTCAAGGCTTTGCAAAAGTATTCAAACTATTCAGAAACCCAATATTGGGAAAATGTGAGAAATGTACAAAGTACAACAATGGGCAGGGTTGATTTCCTTGATGCCATATAGAGCAAGACCAGGGTGCTCCAATTCTGCCCCTGTGTGACTTCCAGAGAATATCACAACTGCTGCAGTTACTGCAAAATGCAAAAAGAAAAAGGATGGATTCAAAGCTAATTCAAAGATAATCCTGTGCAGGTAATTCTAATGCCTACATAGTAATCAGTTGCTTCTACAATGCTGTTAACTTATGACTCAACCCCTCTGCACTGACCTGCATGATAAGCCCTTCCTCAGGCCCCTTCACACAGGTAATGCAACTACAGGCACACTTATTCTACACCAGAAGTCTACCACTTATTCTAATAAACCGCCTTCAGTTTTTCTGGATTCTTGATCTGCTCTCTACTAGAGAGCAGGTTGGATAAAAGAAGCCATGTTAGGAAAACAGAGAATGTTGCAGCACTTTAAAGACACAACAAATATCACATTTTTAAAGGTGCCCCAAGGCATTTCATTGTATTTTTGTTTATTGCTCTTAGCTGAGCACCATTGTTTTGAAAGGCAGGATACAAATGCAACACTTTTTTTAAAAAAGAACAACAACCAGCTGCTCAGTTCATGAGTGCCTCCAGCTCTGATAAGAGTCCCTTGAGGTATGAATCTGTTCCTAATTCACTGACAAATACCACATCCAGGAGTCCTCCTCCAACACTCTTGTGATGAAGGAGGCCATAATGAATTCATGGCTAGTGAAAGAAGTCCCAACAAATAAGGAATCAGATCAGGATTTCTGGTGATAATTAGAATATGCCCCCCCGGGGGGGGGGGGAAGCATGGTCACTTACATCTAGCAGTTGGTGGAATTTGTCGAGCTGGGGAGCAGAAGCAGCCTGCAGCAGGCGCCAAATGCTCTGGCTCTCATCTAGCGTCACCTCCAGAAGATCTCCCTCCATTAGCAGCTCCTCCAGGGGTAGGCGGATGGCATCTGTCACCTCCAGTACAGGGCCCTGCAGCCGTGGCAGGTAAGAGCAGAGTGTCTCCAGGTCTGTGAGAGGGGCAGAAAGGCAACTGAGGAGAAGAAACAGATAGAATCCTCTGCTGCACAACAGGGCTAGGACTAATTTCCCCAAATAATTGTTAAACCAGGCAGACACCAAAGGTGCCTAAAAATAAGGGGAACACTCAACTACAAACTTCCTAAATTCTACGTAGGGAAGCTGGCAAAATAAGGGCTTTACTAGAGAAATACCTGAGGCACAGGAGCCATTCTTTTCTGGAGCTGTGGAGTCTCCGTTCTCCAAGGAAACCTGGTTGAGGAAAAAGAAGATGCGTGATGAAATGGACTTCCACGTCAGAAATGCAGTTTCTGCACAGGGACTAATGTAGCCCTGCAGACAGATTCACTTGAGATCATGGTAGTCAAGGCAAGGCAATTCAAAAGATGTATATTACATCACACTTTGTCATGTTCAAACCTTTGAGAGACAGAGTGGCTAAACTGGTGTGATGGATTGGAATGCTCAGCTGTTTAAGGAACAAAGCAGTTGGCAAACCAGCTTTTGAGGGAAGAAAGTGGTAGGTTTGGGTGAGGCTGAAATCTCACACACAGTTTGAGGACTGTGAGGAGGTCCCAGGACATGAAACAGCTACGGAAAGAGGGGTTCAGAATAGGCAATACAATGAGAGACCTGAAGAAAGTGTCAGGAGAAAAAGGCTTGCAGAAATGCAGAGAAAACTAGGAATTGAGGCAAGGGACTAATCAAGAAAAGCAGAAAAGGACACTGAATGAACTTTCCAGTGCTTAAGGAGAGGTGCTGCATACTAAGTGAGGGAGAGAGAGAGGAATGCTGGAGGTGGTGGTCCAGAAAGAGGGTGGCTAAAACCAAGTGGGACAAACTAGACGGTGGCCTGAAGAACCAATGGGTGATGGACGTGGGGCAAAATAACACACAGTGTCTGGCGATAGGACAACTGTGCATTAATAACAGGAAGCGGGCAAGCAGGGGTGTATAAGGGCTAGATGCAGGAAAATTCTGGCAGCAGTGGCTTCTCCTGTTATTATAGCAGTGTGTCAAGGGAGATGAAGGCCAAACAATAGGAGTGGGAGATGAATTTCACATATTGATCTGAATCAAATAATTATTTGGTTTCCAGAACAGATAAAAAGATTTAAGATTCAGAAGCTGGCAAAGAATTGTATTTTTCCAAGTGGCTCCATTCTCTTGCATATTAATGGCTCCAGCACTTCTTTTTGTAAAAAAGAAAGTAGATTATTGTTCCTCCTTATCTCCCTCCCTACAGTATCTTTTTGTAATTTCCATTTTTTTAAAAAAAACCAAAATTACCAAATTCTTTGAAGGCCCCAAATACAGTAAAGTGTATTCAGAATTCTGCCAGTAGGCGTGGGCACTAACAAATATACAACAAAAGAAGTTTCTTATTGCAAAGGCTGTAAGGATGAACACCCACCATCCACTGACTGCACAACCGTACGAAGATTTCACTGCCCTTTCTACACTGGAACATGTGGATTATAACCATCAATCTCATTTAGATACTTATTTGGACAAAAAATCTATACATTTACTTTTTATTGTTATTGCTAAGCTGACGTTTCTACAAAATAAGAACATTCTGTCACTGGAAAGCAAACACACCTATATGAAAGACAAATACATGCACCACACTTATGCTCCCAATCCAGCCTTGGCTAGTTAGCACTAAAAACCAACCCATCTCCCCCTGTACTCACTTACCTTGGTCTGTTCATTACAGCTGCTCTCTTTGAGAGCACCTGCCTCCTTGGCCGAATCTCCAACCAGTCGTTGCCGCAGCCCCGCCAGACGCTCCAAGGCAGCTGCTACATCTGAGGAGGCTAGGAGCTGGCGGGCACGGTCCTGCCATGTAATGGCTCGCTCTGTCAAGCACTGTAGAGCTTCTCCCTCGGGCAGTCGCACAGGAAGCTTTTGTAGGGCTACAAGCAGAGCCAGGATCGTCTCCAGGCGGGGCCGGCGCGAGCGCTGGCAGAGTGGGCAAAGGAATTTTGCTTCCCATTCCCACCATGCAGGAGAGGGGCGGGGGTTGCCAAGGCGGGGCCAAGCCACACAGGTGGTGTGGAACCAGTCCTGACACAGTTCACACTGCAGCATAGCAGGGCTTGGAGGCTGGGAACATACACAGTACTGGCCCCCGGGAGGACTGTGCGTTGATGGCACAGGCTTCTGGGCATTTGACTGACGTAGGCGTAGGATCCCCGCTTTCTCCTTCTGCTCACCTTCTTTGAAGGCCAAGATCTGCTGGCACAAGGTTACATAGTCGTGATTACACAGAAGTAAAAACGTAAGCAAAATCCCATTCTGGTCACTAGAACCTAATTTCCCCTTCTCCAAACAAGGTACTACTAGATTAGTGATGGGAAATCTGTGGTCCTCCAGATGTTGCTGTACTATCTGGCTGGGCATTTATAGGAGCTGGAAGGTTACAGCTACCTCATCTCTGAACTAAAGTAAGTTATTAGCAGAAATCCAGACATGCTACCCATTTCCCAGATTCTTCAGTACTCATCTACAAAAGGACAAGTCCATCATATCAATTTTTGGTTGGAGGATGGATGGCGGATAACAGATTGAGGTTGAATCCTGACAAGACAGAAGTACTGTTTTTGGGGGACAGGAGACGGGCAGGTGTGGAGGATTCCCTGGTCCTGAATGGGGTAACTGTGCCCCTGAAGGACCAGGTGCGCAGCCTGGGAGTCATTTTGGACTCACAGCTGTCCATGGAGGCACAGGTCAAATCTGTGTCCAGGGCAGCTGTTTACCAGCTCCATCTGGTACGTAGGCTGAGACCCTATCTGCCTGCGGACTGTCTCGCCAGAGTGGTGCATGCTCTGGTTATCTCTCGCTTGGACTACTGCAATGCACTCTACGTGGGGCTACCTTTGAAGGTGACTCGGAAACTACAACTAATCCAGAATGCGGCAGCTAGACTGGTGACTGGGGGCGGCCGCCGAGACCATATAACACTGGTCTTGAAAGACCTACATTGGCTCCCAGTACGTTTCCGAGCACAATTCAAAGTGTTGGTGCTGACCTTTAAAGCCCTAAACGGCCTCGGTCCAGTATACCTGAAGGAGCGTCTCCACCCCCATCATTCTGCCCGGACGCTGAGGTCCAGCGCCGAGGGCCTTCTGGCGGTTCCCTCATTGCGAGAAGCAAAGCTACAGGGAACCAGGCAGAGGGCCTTCTCGGTAGTGGCGCCCGCCCTGTGGAACGCCCTTCCAGCAGATGTCAAAGCGATAAACAACTACCTGACATTCAGAAGACATCTTGAGGCAGCCCTGTTCAGGGAAGTTTTTAACGTGTGATATTTTACTGTATTTTTGGTTTTTATGGAAGCCGCCCAGAGTGGCTGGGGAGGCCCAGCCAGATGGGCGGGGTATAAATAAATAAATAAATAATTAATAATAATAATAATAATAATATAATAATAATAATAATAATATTTCAATAGCAATGCAGTCCTACTTACTTTCAGAATCATTAAAATTTAAATATGGACCTCAGCAATATCTAAAGCATTGCTATGATTTTATTGAATTGTATAAGCATTGCTAAGATTTTGTTCAATTGTATCAATCATTTTGATGAATTTGTTGTTTGCTTTATTCATGTGTTACTGTGTTTGATAGTATAGTGATTGCAATGTCTGTTGTTTTTTAATGCTATTGTGATGATTGTGAGCTGCTTTGAGCTCAGAAATATTAGATCAAATCAAATCCATCACCATTGCAGGTGAAGGTATAGTATGAGAAACAATCCTACTAACTTGGGGCTAGTTCAGAACCAACACCTCTCATAGGAGAAAAGGCCCCAGATCCCATTCATAATACAAACAGCCCTCTCAAGCCAGCCACTCACAACGGAGCCAGGGTCCCTGAGGTCTTGTGCTGAGAGGCCCAGGCTTTCTGTATCAGATTTGTATAGGCCTGGTTCCTTCTCCCGCTGCCACTTGGTGCGTTTGACACTGTCCGAGTCGGCATCAGCACATGGGCACAGCACCTGGGAGAAAGAGGCAAGGTATGAAGCCTTTGATTCAAGAGGTCAGGCCCTAGAATGGCATCCACCCATCTCACATGCACAACGCCATCACTAACCTCAAGTAACGTGTAACAGGAATTCTTTTTGAGGAAGGTTTTGGAAGCCTTTTCCCGCCAGGAATGTGCAGTAGCCACTTGCACTTCTAAGTGGCGCAGTTCCTCCAGACGCACCGGCAAATCCCTACCCACAGCTACAAGCCCCTCCAGGTCATCCAGGCAAGGATAATGATCCCCATTCTGTAAAGAGGTTATAGGACATATTGAAGAGGTTACTGTGTGATCCTGGGGGCTTTACAGCAAAGTTACCCAAATCCTCGGGGCTACAGCACACCTGGATCTCCTCAACATCAGCAATCCAAGCCTGTGCCTTAGAAAGAGCCTCCTTGAGTGACAGGATATTGGGCAGGTGCACTGGGATGTTCTCTGCCTCTTTGATGATGGCCTCTAGTGTGGCTGGTGGGTGCTTCTGCCTGCAAGTGATGGGGAGGGAAGTCATCAGACAAGGATTTTCATGGGCATGTTTTGGCACATACACAAATAACTAAGTTCTGTTGAGGTGAACCCTCCCAACAAGAGCTGTGGATACTCAGGCATCTGAACTCTTCCCTGTCAACAATGGTGCTGAAACCTCACCTGGCCTCCAGGCACATCTGGGCTTTTTCCTCCCAACGCTGGGCAATAGTGAGTAACTCCTGTAGTTCAGCCATGGCTTTGTCCACAGCAAGGCTAGGTGCAACCCCACAACCAGAGGTGATGAGTGCTCTCATAACAGATAGAGTGACTTTATCTTGGGGTGAACGCAGCGTCTGCTTGACCTCCTCCAGCCAGACAGCCTGTTGCACCTGTCTCTCCAGTAGTTCCATCTCTGGCACCTCCACCCCTAGGCATGTTCCCTGAGCCAGCAGTCTGTGCAGCTCTGGGGAGTTGCCTGGGAGATCCTGTAGAGCTTCCTGAACCTCAGCTTGGAAAGCTTCCACCTTCTCCAACACACCCTAGAATATGATACATATCATCAAGTCAGACAGATTCCTTTACAGTCACTCAATGTTTCACCTAGAAAGCAACACCAGTCATCAGTGTTCCCAGTGGAGCACAATATATCTCCAGTTGTGGCAGGGGCCACAATACACCACCAATTATCCCACCTGGACTTCTTTGATTTGGTGCATGACACAAGGCAAGTTGCTCATTTGCTCTAGGAAAACACGTAATTCTTCCACTGTCATATGGACTGATGGTTCCCTGTAAGAGCAAGCAGGAAAAAGGACAGAATGCACTTAGCAGCTATAAAGAGAGAAACACAACAAAACTTGATCCCACAGAAAACTACTGAAGAAAACAGCCCCCTGACCAATTCAGTACGATTAAAACAAAGAAGAGTATCCCTGCAGAAGAGGCACCCAGGAAAACGGACTGCCTCAGCCCAATGGACATATAAAGCTGGATGCAAGACTATGCCATCCACACTTTATATTGTTGTATATAAAACTCATTATCTGCAGTCTTCACTCACCCAGTTTCTTGGCTGCTTATCAGACCCAGGGCCTCTGAGACACACTTCTCTGCTTCACTCAAGCAGCTTTTGAGTCGATGAAGGAGCTCATTCTCAGGGAACTTCCTCTCACGCGCCTCGGACTCTAGGGCACGCAATTCCTCCAAGGCTGCAAAAGCAGACACACTCCATGAAGTTCAGAGCCAATTACACCTCTTCAGCTACACCTCCTGCTATCAACCTCAGGAACCCAGGTCAGAAAAAAGCCCATGAGTTGCCAAAAGCTTTCCAACGATTGTGGGAGTCTTGTCTCTCAATCAGTGAGTGACACATTACCTGATTCCCAGCTCCATCACTCTCATTCTGAATTTTATGCTTCAGTTCCTACTACCGTGTCCCACTTGTCACTGCTTTTCTCACATTCTGCTTTACAAAAGGAAACCCTAATGCTTACAGCAAGGGTGCATACTTTCTGCTCACATCATACCTCAGCCTGTATGCAGGGCCTTGGGGGATAATTGCACACGTCCCCACTGAGACCACAGAAATTAACCTTATTCGTTAGAAGACACCAGTGCCTTAAGAAATAAGAAGCCCAAGGTCACTTACTTCTTTTGCGTCCATCTTCGACTTCCAAAGCAATTCGAACCTTGTTGGCCCACATGTCAAAGCACTCAGCTCGAACCTTCAGCTTGTGTAACATGGCTGGGAGCTCATCCAGAGTGTACCGATACCTGAATGGAGGAGAAAAAGAAGGGATCAGTCTGATCTCAAAATCAGAGCAAAGCCCACAAAAGTCCATTCATCAACTCTCAAATCATACCTAACAACCTGTACTGAAACTATTATTTCCTCCTCTCACAAAGCAACACACCATCTTTTTAAGACTTTGAACGCACCTACAATTTATTTTAGTGTCAATCTTCCCATCACTTTCATTGTGTCGTAGTTACTAGAGTGGCTGGGGAAACTCAGTCAGATGGGTGGGGTATAAATAATAAATTATTATTATAAATTATTATTATTATTACTAATGGCTACTGCTTATCACTTCCAAGTTAGCATCTCTGAAAAAGTGAAACCTTCAGCATTCCTATTCTGCAGCCTTTTTACAGACAATAGGAGCACTTCAGAGAACTCTTAACATAGTAATAAGGTATCCTCCAAACTTCCACATGCAAGCCTGAAATGTCAGGCAGGCATAGATGTGCCATTATCTTGCAATGCTCTCAACAAGTTTCCCAAGCCCACCCACCCCTTTTTCCCAGGGTGTCTCCCAACCCCAACATCTGAGTCAGGGTACCAAGATACCGCTGTGTGGACCATTGGGGTAAACACATCACTTCTAGAACAGTTGCGACTGTTGCCAATTTTGTGTGCTAGACAGATGGCTGCTTATGTTAATTTTGTTTTTGAATGAAGTGTGACAGTCATGGTGATTTCACCTATACAGAAGCTGAGCCTAGTAACACTTCAGGAGTCATAAACCATACATTTCCCTGTGTCCAACTCAGCACCTCTCCTCTAAAGTGACACCAAGAAAACAGTCTTAAGATCTTAGCTGCTTTTTAAAAAAAGCAGTGTCACATGTTTCCAATGCTATAATACTCAAATCAATGTAAAACACCTAGTTCAGGCCTTCAGCACTGAAAGGGCCAGTCAGCCAGATGAAGGGATACAAATAAGGGGTGGAAACAAATAACTTGTTCAAAATAACTCATTTACATGTCTTGCATTTACATGTCTTTTTGCTCTGGCTGGTTAAATTACCTGATTTCTTCTTTTCGTGTGCTTTAAACTGATGTTTTGTTGCTTTTATGTAATTTTTTGTTTTAGTTACACACTGCTTAGAGCTTTTTAGAAGTCTAAAGTTGTTTATAAATGCATTTAAATGAACAAACAAAGCAGTCTACTTCTTTCTGCCCACCTGAGGTACTGCTTGCTGCTGGGGCACTTGCAGAGGTCATTGATGTGGTAGAGGCAGACAAGACAATCTGGACAATCATAGCAAGCTAGTGCTGACAAGAAGCATGTTGTCTTGCACTTGTCACACTGGCGCTCATCATCTGGGAGCAGCTCAAAGGCCTCCCGCTCTGCCTCCGTGATACCCTGGGGTGGGAGGAAACAATGATCAACTGCTCAGGCATCCACAGCTATCATACAATTGTTCCCTGCCCCTGTATCATATACCCATCCTATTTCCCTGCACCTTGTCAAGAAGAGCCTTGCGCAATTTGCGTTCCTCTTGCACCAGAATAAACATCTCTTTGTGCACAGCAGCTGCCAAGTTCAGGTCCAGCTTCTCAGGGCAAGCAGCCATCTTACAGATAAGCTCCTCATGTGAGAACACACAATATCGACGGAGGCGGCGGTAGTGCTCAATGCACTGGCGACCAGCTGGCAACTAAGAAGAAAAAGAAAGAAGTCCATTTGTCAATACAGCTGAGGATCTCTGGCTCCCAGGATTCTCAGGTGAACCTTACATACTCCACAGTCATAAACTGCAACCCATGTGCATCAGCCTGAAGTCGTGCTTTGGTAGCCCACCACACTCTTTCTTACAAGAAAAAATTTCTAAAACTGCAGAAATATGACTCACCCAGTCAGCAGTACAGAAGTTTACTGCTTCAGCAAAGTTATAGCCCTGGTTGAAACCACTGTGGTAGGCTCTAGGGAAGGTAATGACAAACTCTCCAGCACACTGGTTGGTTCGGACAACCTGCAGAAGCATACAGGGGGAAGCAATGAGAACAGGGCAGTGCAAGGGAGACACACATACATGCTACAGACTGATAGATTACTCACTGGGACCCCATGAGCCATGAGTGTGTTGGGGTTCATGAGCGTCACCAACTGGTGCAACAAGTCAGGCTGACTCTCAAACAGTTCTGGGGTCAGCTTCTTCATTACATCTTCCAGGTGTTCAGCAGCAAATGATGGGACCCCATACCAGGTTTTGGGCTCACCCCTGAAAAAGAAATTGAGTCAGGAAGTGCTGCTTTCAGCTACCCCTAAAATACGAGAGAAGGCAGCCTGAGAATCCACTGATTCCCAACCTCAAAATGCCCCCTCAAGACATATGGTTACTGAAGTGTATAGAAAGAAGCAAATTTTATTTCAGACAAATTTTGTCTCCCAAACTGGTTCACATCAAGGTTCAAAAACAGGAGGTAGTGAAGGAAGTCAGAAAAAGAGAGGAAAACTGACAGAGTAACAAAAGAAAGCGTACTCGCTGCACTGCTTATTTTAAAGGCTTATTATTTAAAGACTATATAATGTGAGCTCCATTATAGAAGAATTCTTTCTGGGGGTCCTCTAAATTCCATGCAAAGTGCCATGAAAGCGGACTTGTGTTCACTGTTTTTCTATTTAGATTTAATAAAAATAAAATATTATTTCGCCCTTATTTGTGATTCTTAAATTTTTACTGTTTGTAATAGTGACTTTCTTACTTCCAACTTGGGCTGCCTTTAGAGAAGCCTTGCACTAGACAACAAATCCAGCCTCCATGGCCCCTCCCCTCCCCACCCCAGATGTCTTACCAGTGGAGGTAGTTAATAGAGTAACTCCAATGATCCTCGATGTGCCAGCAGAAAGCAGAGAACACCATGCCCACGTAGAGCCATGGAACCTTCATGCCCGAAATATCAGCATTTATGTGGCATAGCACTGATTGCTTCAGCACTGGCATCACATTGAGGTTCCAACCGCTAGCTGCATACTCCTGCAATCACATGTAGAGAGCTAAGAAAGAGGGTAAGGCTAGTAGTACAATGTAAGCCTCAAGTTACAAAGGGTGAGGGGCTTAAGATATGTAGGCAAGAGGACGTCTGCCTTCAATAGGGTACACACCGCTTCCTCTGGAGAGAGCTGCCTTTTGCCATCATTGATGGGGAAGCCACTTCCAAATTCCTTGGAGTGGATATCAGCCCCATACTCCACTGTTACATCTTCTTCAATGCTGTTTACTAAGCGCCAAAACTCCTTTTCCACCAGCTCTGTTGGCACCATCTGGGAAAAGAAGCAGAGGAAGAAGTCAAGAATACAGACCCCACATTTTTAAACTCAAGACACTAGAAACTGCATGGCAGAATCTGCAAAAGAACAGGATGCTGTGTTCCTTCCTTCCAGCACCCAGCATATTCCACAACCTTTCCAGAAATAAGTTGGGTCCTACTAGCCCATGGCCTAGCCTACAGTGAGGGTACTGTGACTCACATGTACAGGCATATTGAAATAGTCTGCCTTGAAAGAATCTGCCATCTCGCCAAAGCTCTGTAGTGTGTACTCTCGAGTGGCCTGCTCAAACCCAAAAGCCTCTGGGGGGCGCTTGCATTCCTATGGAAGAACAAAGACAGAAAAAAATAAGTAAAAGGATTCAGACATGGCCACTGCCCCCTCCCACCAAATTATCAATGATGATCAGGTTAGCAGTAGATTCATAATTAGTTTTTAATAAAAAACAGATCCATTTAGATCCATTCTTCACATCTAGACATGCAAGAAATGTTCCACTGTGCCTACTGTCAAGAGGCAGAAAGGGACCCCTTACCGCCATGACACATTTAGGACACCTCCAGACGCCTTTTGGAATTTCAGGTAAGGGGGGCAATAGGCAGAAGATGTGGTAGTTGTCATCACAGCCATCACATAACAAGAGCTTGTCATCCTCATCTCCCCGTGCACAGATACGGCAAACAAAAGACTCAATCTGGAAGAAAATAGAGCAAACCCTAAGCACTCATATAAGAATCAAGAACATGTGTCTGCTAAACCCCATCAATGGTGTTTCTTTGACAGCAACCATCACTGCATGTTCCAAAGGAAAGTACAAGACGGTGATTCAGCTATTGAATACAAGCACGCAAAGTGTGACTGAGGTCACATCTCCCTGCAACCAGCATCTATTAGTCAGTCTTGATCCATCCCATCACTGATAAAGAGGAAAATGAGATCCTGAGACCTTGAACAAGAGAGAGGAGGTAACCCGCTCTAGATGCCCTCCTCCGCCAACAAAGGATACTTAATGCAAAGGCAGGATATAGAGGGGCAAATGGAGGCCACCTGACTAATGAGTAGGAACACAGAAGATTCCACTTACAAACTGAGTGTTGTGGTTGCGACGCAGGCGCATTGTCATCTTGGTGCAAGGTTCTGGACTGTGCCTCAGCTCCTCCTTCATGTTTGCATAGCGTCGGGGTGATGTGGGCTCCAGCTTAGTCTCTGGAACAGGGGCCTCCTCTTTCACAATCACTGTTGGAGGGCACTCAGGCATCTCCTTGTCTATATTTGGGGAGAAAAAACCTTAGGAATGGAGAGGGCCGACTCTGCCTCCGGCTTTTCAAATGCAGGGCTAGCTCACAATTCCCACCTTTCTTGCGCATATTCTTGTCCTTGGCCACAAGCCCCAAACCGAGCATTTTAGGCCCAGCACCATAAATCTGCAGTTTCTTCAGTTCTGGATTCTTCTCAATGTCTTCCTCTGTTGGCTCTGGCTGCAAGGAAGGTGTAATTAGAAAGGGGATAACTATATAAGGTTACCAGCCTTAAACGGTGTCACAAACACTCGAAGAAAGCAGCAGCAAAGGAAAGCAACAGCAGAAGATAGACTGGGGAGAAGAACTGTTGCATAGGGAGAACTGGATAATGCAAGGATAGTGCTAAGCTGTGACTGAGCTCCTGGGGCAGAACCTCACATTGTGCAACAGAATTCTTGATTACATACATCCCTGATGTGAAACATGCCATACTGCAACATAAACAAAAGTCAAGAGTGTATTATGGGAGATTTAGTCTCCTTAGGCCGTATTTCCCATTCTATGTGGTCTATAGACTTCCAGCCATGAAGCAGGATAAGTAAGAGTAAAAGAGAGGCAGGAGAGATGGACAGAACAGGAACTGTACCCATGCTTGAGGCGCTCGCTCAGGTAACAGAGCTGGGGCGCTGGGAGGCTCAAGGCACGATTCGGATTCCTGTAGGAGGGCGACAAAATGAGTGGGGAGTAGGGATCAACAACAGGGCTGCAGGAATTTTAATGAAGGGAGTAGTACTGGATTATAATGAAGGAGATGGCTGCCTGGTCTATGACTTCTTTTTCTTGAACATCTAGAAATGAAAGGAATTAAGGTGCCTTACAATTGAAATCCATCTGCTACAATGGAGCTACAACTGGTTAGGCTTTACTCTCCCCTGGAATTCCTCAAGAATTTCAGGGTAGTCATGGTGGGGGAAGGGGCAAGAAGGAAAGGGGAGAAAAACTAATTTTTGGTTCATTTTACTGATGGGGAATCAAGAGGGGAACTATTCAGCAACACAACAAAGCTTAAAACATGGGAAGGGAGAAATAATCCTGAAATTTTAATTCTTACCACCACCCCATATCCTCTATAGACACCCAAGGCACCTTAATGTAGATTAGCTAGCCCTTCACACCTTTAAACCATGCTGTCACCCTAGTTCTTTCAGAGTTTTGAGAGTAGGAAAATGCGGATTTTGAGCTATCCTTTCACTGTAAACAGACAAAGTGGGGATTCTAATCCATATTCATGATGAAGACCATGGAATCATAAGGTTATTTCAGATTAATTCATGCCAAAGATCTAACTTTGTTTGGAAGACATACCCCAATAAATTCCCATGCTCCTAAAGATGAGCAACTCCCAACCCCTTTACTATTATTGGTTGTGTCTTTCATTTTACAACTGAAAACAAAATATATGAGGCTACGCTCCAATTGCACACTGTTAACCACAAGACTCATGTCCCCGCCAACCCTGAGAGAAGTTCTTAAAAGGTTGGGCCAAGGACATCCAAAATGTTGTTTGCTCTTCATGATCCTGCTCACCCGCTGAGATATGGCAGAAAGGTCTTGCTCCATGTTCCACCACCGCCTAAAGTAGGGATGGGGAACTCCCAACTTCTGAACCAGATACAGAACTCAGCGGAACTCCTTCAGGCTTGCCAGTTCCACTCCCACCTATCAGCTGTTCAGCAGGGAATGGCTGAGAGGGAAAACTGCTTTGGTGTTGTGCAAAGTGTGCAAATGCAGATCCTTTCTTTGTAAGAAGATCAGCCAAGAGGTAGTCTTGTGTTCCTGGCAAATATGCAAAAAGCATCTGTACATATTGCAACTGAATGCATGAAATGAGGCTTTGAATAGCTGCAAAGCAGGGCCTGAAGTTTAGCGATGCATTGAGGTTATCTGCATTCTTCTGCTGGTATTATAGGGTATTTTTTGTTTTTTTGGGTGTGTGCCTTTTGCAGTCAGGATAAAGGGTTTTGAAGAACTTTTTTTTTAGCACTTTTAAAAACAAACTAGAAATGGCGAAACTAGAGCAGATTTACTAAGAATTAAACATACGTCTCTGTTTCCATGGGAAATAGCTTTGCGTGTGTGTGTGTGTGTGTGAATATGACTGTGTGGTCTGGCTCCATCCACTTTTGGGGCTGGTGGCTCCCCAACCGCTACTGGAATGCAGCTGACAACTTCCCACTGGGGTAATATGGTTTTTCACCTATGAGTTTTCCCTACCTCTGGACAAAAGGATAACAAGTGGCTATGCAGGACAGGGCTCCCTCAAGTTGCAGCACCCATACTCTGGAATGCTCTCTCTTGTGAGTCTGCTCTACCCCTTCCCTCTACTGAAAGACAGCCTCTTTAGGCAGGCCTTCATCTTGGAATAATCTGCACTCCACAAACCAGCATATTTTAATCCAACTCTTAATGACATGGTGTCTGCTGTTCTCTTATTGAATCTTTATCATATTTTAGTTATTTTATTGCATGCCACTTTCAAAGAAGCTGCTGCAAAGCAGCTTATGTATTTTAATTAATAAAAATGCATAAACACACCTGTCCCTTGAACATGCTCTAAACAACTAGATTCAACATTTACACATACTGTACTATACAGGTACAAGAATAGTCAGATTTTGCTTTCTTAAAACCAACCAACCAACAAAAAAAACAAAAACTTTTTTTTAAAAAACCCCAAAACTACATTCCAATAAACCTTTAGTGGTTCTCAGCTGACTAAGGCTTAAACCTACATTGTTAGCTCATAAAGAAGAAGCACGCACACAAAAATGTGAGGCAATATCCCTTCTATAGAAAAGAACACCCACGTTTGTAAAATCTCATCTACTTGGTCTTATCACCATTCCTTTCTCTTCCTGCCATAGAAATTTAAAATCACTGAGCTTGTTCCTTCCAAAAGCAATGCTTTGTCCCAGAAGAGCCAAAGACAAACATTTCCAGTCTTTAAGACCTGTGAGGACAAGACTTATTTATGTGGGAGGGATGCACCCCAGCAGGTCTAGGAAGAAACAAGGCTTTCTGCAGAGTCAGGGAGATGCATGTGTGTAACAGCCCTGGGAGTTAGTGACTGGCCCAACCCAGAACAAAAATTGTAATTAGGGCTGAAGGTGTGTCTTATACTCACCTCCTGCTGCAGACGCTTGGCCCGGCGCCCATAGCTGTTGAACTTGGATGGCTGAACCGATTGGCGCAATGGGATGCTGTGTGGCTTATACTCCTTGTCTTTCTCTTCGTTGTCAAATGGATGGGTATTGCACTGCTGGGGGAGAGTAGAATTAGCACCAAACAGACCTCATGACTACACCGACCCCATCACTAGGAATCAGATAGCAAGTGCTTAATCCAGCTCTCCCACAAGAGCAAGAGACTAACACAAGGGAACACATGACATCTTTGTGCAGCTCAAGTCTCTGCCTTCCTGCCTACAAAAAAATCATTTTCCAGAACAGAATAGTTCCCAAGGGGAATGCATTCAGGAGGTTCCAATCTTTCCTATAAGTATCTAAAATAAGAAGGAAATGGCAAGCGCAATGAGGTTTTAAGAGATCTGCTACTCACCACCAGGTTGGCACCGGACTGGTACATTTCATAAGGGTAGATTATGCGCTCATAGTGGGAGCGAAGAAGGGATCCAATGTTCTTCCCCGATGGATAGGAAAGGCGTTGAGCCACTCGTGCCCACCGCCGATCCTTGCAGATGGCTTCATATCCACCTTCCTCCATCACAATCTGGAATACAAAAATATTGAGAAATACTATTCCTCCCAAGCTTGGCTAATTTCACACAAAAGGAATGCATATTCCAGTATCATACTTGGTTTTTCCTATCCCTGTCTCCAAATCATGATCCACAGCAACCCAAGGCTGAGCCCTGGCAGTCCCTTCACCAAACCACTAATGAAACCCATCCATTCTACCATCCCTTTTAAACTTTACATATTATCGCCCACCCTGTTTTTAAGGAATAGCTTATTTTCAATGGAGAAATTTAGTTTCCAACTTACTTTGCTGAGGCTGTACAAGTCAAGGATTCGCCTCTCTACATTGGGGATTTTCAGTGCAGAACCTTGGATTTCCCAAAACTTTGCAATCTGGTCTAAATAGTTCAGCTTCACTCTGGTCTGTGCCTGGCAATAGGGACATGACAAACTGCAGTCAGCTTTTCTCATATCAAAGACTTACATTAGTTTCTGACTAATCATGGAATCTTTCAATCACCAATTACTGAGCTCTAACATATTTTCATGGTGCCATGATGAAATCAGTTTTGTAGATAGCAGACACACTCATTGAACTGGGCTTAGACATGTGCACTATTTATTAGACATGCGACATATTTCAACTTTTCTCATCTACATAGCTAAGACTTTAAACTTTAACTACTTCAAAAAGGAAGCTAGAGTGCTAGGTCACCATCTCACACCTTAACTCCTTACAGCACAATCCTATGTAAGTAATTCTCAGTGCCTCCAACAGGGCTTAACAAGTGCATTTAGGATTGCAGCCTCAGAATGTTCACTTATTTCACCAAGTACAACACAAGCTGCAATCCTATATACATTTAAGTCGGAGAAAGACTCACTGAATTCAATGGGGCTTTCTTCTGAGTAGACATGTATAGGATTGTACCATCTTGCCAGTACCTTATGCACATATATCTTTTGAAAAGTACAAGAGAAGAAATCACAAGAGCAGAGAATCAGAGATACCCTAATTAAAGCAATGAAGATGTGGGGAAACCCTTAAAATAAATTGTAATACAATTACTACAATACAAACAAATATACTACATACAAAATTGACAGCCATTAAACCCAGAAATCCCACAATTTCTCATTATCCTCCAGGATGCTCTCATATTTCTCGAATTATATTAATTTTGCTGCAATTGATTAAAGGCTTCTCCTGATAACCTTTTCCAGTACCAAGAAACAAGAAGGCACGGCATCTGTCTTAGCTAGCCTATTTATTCTATCAAAAATGTGCAAGAAACCTTACAGTTCTGTCTCTACACTTGCAAGACTCACCTCTAGTTCATTGAGCCTCTGTATTCGTGGGGTAAACCGGAAGTTATCCACTTCCACAGCAAAGGGAGGCTGCCAGTCCTGAGAATGAGAGGGAAAGATGGTGTGGTTAGGATCCCAATGCTCTTTGTGCACACATGTAAATCTTTTAAATCTAAACAGCAAGAGATTCCAGTACTTTTGCTCACAACACACCACCATGAGCAAGGATTAAGCTAAATATCTACGTGCCTTGAAGCTCAGAAAGTAGTCTCACAGGATCCCATTTGATTTTAAGCTTAGACTGCTTAAGCACGTTAGATTAAAAACAGGAAAACTTTGGCAGAAGGGGGAATACCCTTGATGTAACAACAAAACAGCCCCCCATACACAAGAGAGATCAAGCAGAGACCCAGCTGACACTTGAAAGAGGCCTAGCTTTCCACATGGATGCCTCCTAGTGAAGCATGAATGCATTAGGCAGTGTAAAGTGGTGCGCATGTGTATGTCTTCATCTTGACCATTTATACAGATAGAAGCACAGGACATCATCAATGTCTCTTTCGCCCATTAGCAATATTCTTCCCCAAGGCACTGGACATACAGGAACTGAACTATGCTGATGCTGATACACAGGCACTTCAAGGGTGGGGCAACTGCTTATGGTCATCAAATGCCAGGCATAAAGACAAGGGAAGGCCTGTGAAGGAGTGTGTGTGTGTGTGTGTGTGTGTGTGTGTGAGAGAGAGAGAGAGAGAGACAGAGACAGAGATTCCAGGTCTCCTAACAAAAGTGGGTCAAATTGATGGTTACACATTTTAATTTCGATCAGCTTGAACAGCCACCAGGATTTGTGTGTGTCCCCCCCTTCCGCTATGATTCATATAAATATGTGCTATTTCTTGGACTTGTGGCAGCAAAGAATAGTATTTTATTGGTTTCTAACAGTATAACTCAACTAAAAAAAACAAACTTAAGAGGCAGGCTAAGTTGGAAAATTCCTGTTTTCTCAGTTGCAAGGCATTTTATCACGTTGCTGATTTCTAGTGAAATGCTTGCTTAAGGAATAAAGCAGATCTACAATGCCATACATTCTACTAAATGTTAACACACACACAAAATCATGACAAAGATATCAAACAGTAATGCCTCTTAGAATTCCAAAACCTAAAAATGGAAGATGAAAACCAAACATGCTAACAAGACAACTCTTAGGCACCATTGTCCATTCTCACATTGTCCAGGTTCCCATCCTACATCAAGCTTGACTACAGCAGAAACAGTCGATATGGAGGACACTGACTAGTTTCAACTACAGCAATATAGCTCTCTAGAAAAAAATGTGGAACAAACCACTTGTTCAAAATGTTCCATTTTACCTTCACGAAAACGCTATTCACTGGACAGATGTTGGTACACTGACTAAAAACCACAATAGTTTCTCAGTGAAGAAGAGAAAGAAGGGTGGGTGGAGTTGTTTCAATAGCTTAAGTGGGACCAGAGGGCAAGAAATGCTAAAACAGATGGGCCCCCTCCTCTAGACACACCTACCTGAATTCCATTTCACCATCTCTTCTGGTCCCACAGAAGAATCAAAACTCTATGCAATGCCTCGTTTGATACAATCTCTGCTAGAAAAGCAGCATTGCTCTAATAATACTTACTAGCCTTTCCCTCTACTGCTTCTTAGACAAAGTTTATGTCATTTGGACATTACAGAAATGCTTTCTGTTTCAGGTTTTGAAATCTTTAGGCTATGACCAGTTCCCCTGCATCAAAATAATACAACAGGGAAATAACTAAATAACATACATGCAAATCAATAATATAAGCTTAACTTCATCACTGTTGAATGAAACTGTTAGCTGTACTGCAGTTTACAGCTGAGGCCCAGCAAGGGAAAAACTAAGAAATTCATGAGACATCAGAATGTAGAAACAATCATGAAGTAATAGAAGCAGGAGATAACCCAATCTACAACTTCTACAACTTTGGAAAAGAACAAGCTCTACATCAAAACACACATTTCACCACATCTTGACAACTCAATCAGAAACTGAAGCCTCTTCCAAGCCCACAAAAATATGACAGAGGTTGATACAAATATTATGAAGACCGAGAATCAACATTCTTCCAAACAAAGCCAATCACTCCATCAACTTGCTCATCTACTCAGCATCCATTCACTGATTATGTCACAAGTGATGCTCCAATGTGAATGCAGATGGCTCAGCTCCCAAACAGCATGCTGGGCATCACTGCCTCTAGCATCCACAGATGCTATGTATCCATTCTTATTATCATGCCAAGACAAGCATCCCAAAGACTAAAAACACCTAATGTGGTGATCTCCAGATATTGTTGGACTACAACTCCAATCATCCTTGATCTTAGGCCACTCTGGTTGGTGCTGATGGGAACTGGAGTTCAACAACCTCTGGTGGGCACTGGGTTGGCTCCCACTGCTATGACTTGCTGGAAGAACCCAAATATTTCAAACCCACCAAGGCCATACATCTTCCACACCACACTCTACTCCTTCCATAACTATGACAGCTCTCAATAGTTCCTTTCAGGAGCTACAACAGCCCCATACATCCTTAAAGTCATGTTATCCAACCCCAAGCCCTGTCACTGGTGCTTCTTGAAATTGAACTCTCTCACCCACTGAAAGGGGAGCACCCCAATACAATTCCCACTCAATCTACTCCACTTGCGGACAATAGCCCCAACGGCCCTCACCTGCTCGAAGCACCTGCCTGTCGCACACCAAGAACCTGCTGCTCCAAATTCCGCATGCCCACTGGCAGGCACGGGCTACTCCGAAATCCACAGGCGCCCCCCAACTGGTGTCCCCTTGCCCACAGTATTCCATACTTACGGCAGGAGGGCGGATCTTGCAGATGCCGCTCTTCTCTGCGATGGGCCGGATTTTCGCAATGTAACCTAGTGGGTCGCTGAATTCAGCCCAACTGGGCTCAAAGACGGGACACTCGGGCGGCGGCAAGAAATCCTCCGGGGGCAACGGGGGATCGGCTTCCCCTGCCCAGGCCGGGCCACGCTCCACCCACTCGCCTTGCTCTGCCCCCCACAGCCCCCGGTCCGCCTCTTTGGGAGCCCGAAGAGCTCGATCTCCCCGGGGACCCCCATCCCCTTGCTCAGCCTTGTCGCCCCTGGGAGCCCCTCGCTCCCCCTTGGCAGCCCGCTCGGCCTTCTCTGACCTGGGACCACGCTCCCCACAATCCCCGTGCTCCCAACTCTCGCCGGAAGGGCCTCTCTCCGCCCTCGAACCCCGCACCCCTCGCTCCCCTTTCTCCTCGCGAGGCGCCCAGTCTCCCTGGCCTTGGTCTCCCGCCTCGGTCTGCTCCCCCGGCTCCTCCCGGGACTCCATGCCCCCCGCCCGCTCCTCCCTCCCGGGGCCCCTCAGGGGGCCATACCCGGCCCCTCCCCCTCACTTGAGCCGCAGGCCTGACTGAAGAGGGTTAACTAGGCCGCTCGGCCGTAGCGGTTCCCCGGGGCCGCCGCTCCCCTTAGCCTTGCTCCCGCCTCCTCTCCGGGGTCTCCCTGGTGCCTCTCCGGGCCCGGTGCCGCTCTCACAGCCCTCCCTTCCCGGACTCAGGGCCTGCCGGGTCCCCTCGGCCTGGCAGCCGCCGCCATCTTGGACTTTCTCAATACCCTCCGCTGAGGCTGTGCCATCAACAACAAAGCGTCTCCCTCCGCCACTCTCCTCAGGTACGAAAGGAGCCTCCCCCAAATGTCGCCGCGCGCCTCTAAAAGGACCTATCTCGTGCAGGAACCCCCATCCAAACGGCTCAGCTAAGTGTGTTGAGTTACGTCGGGAGCTCCAGAAGCAAAAGAAAGCAGAAGAAAAAGTCCCTCAGGGCCAAGGCGGAAGGATTCAACCAGCAGGGGAATGTGGTTGCTGGAACTCCTTGCGCACGTTTAAAGGGCCGCATCGCGCCTGCGCCAGAGAACAGAAAACAGGAAGAGGGGGGAGGACGGCCGAGTGGGCGGGGCAAGTGCTAGCCCCACCCATTCAGTTGTCAGAAGAGCCTAAACCTCAC